GGTGCTCTTGCGCAGAACACGCCGGTGGACAATTTGGCTGCCAAGCCTTCTGCAAATGAATTATGTTCTGAAATATGTTTTTTCGGATATTCTGGCATATAATAGTCTGTCAATTTGGATTCGGACGAACTGCCGAATCAACGGAATTTCGTTGTTTGCAGGTTCGTTGGAATTTAAATGCACAAGTCTATGAGGAAGTACAGTGCTATTTTTTTGGAGGAGTTCAAGACAACATTTTTTCAGGGTACTGCTTAGGAACAATTAACATTTCTAGATGTTCCCTGTTACAAATCTTTTTACACTTTCAGGTCTACTTTAGGTTTGTGCATACATTATGCACTCCTATAGAAATTAATGATTGCGCCTGAACTCCTGACTTTTTGCATGCGTTGAGTATGGCCATTACTTGCTATCACGGACCTCAGGTGTACTTGCACTTCTCTATGGAGATCTGATACTTGACATTGTTATGTGCAGTGGAGCTGAAAGACAGTGTGTGTGAGGTCAGGCATTTGATCCAGCAACACATCTGAAACTTTAGATGACCTCTGACTTTAAACATATGCCTATCGTGGCAGAAAAACGTAGCATGCTATTTGCTGACGTTGACGGCCTTCTAAAAATGCTAGTTTCCTGGTTCATATGCAGAGTTACTAATAAAAATAGGTCTAACTAATGTCATACCCCATACTATACCATATCATAACATAATAAATTGAAATGCAGTAATCAAAAGCAAATTAAGACAAATAGGCACACAATCGTTTCCTGGATAACACATGCCACAGATCAGCAGAACAATGAGTACACAGGGGTTTTTTTTTCTGGTTATATGAGAGTTCTAGGTAGTTGAATTCCGGATAACAAAGAGTTTATTGTAGCTAAAATCTGAAATGTACCTATGGCTGCATCTAGCAAAGGGCCTGTAAATCTACCGATGAACACTAGGTGGCAGTCTAGTCACGTAGAATACGGTCAGGTATTCTAGCTGCTGTAATCTCCGGCTGCCTTTGACTGATTGCTCGCCTTGAAATATCTGGCAAAATGCAGTTGTACGTTTCTCATTCTCTGTCAGAATGGATCTCGCATACACAAGTCACCAATTAACAAGTGTGTTTCCATTATGTATATAAACAGAGTGTCAGAAAATGGACAAAGACGTTGTCCATAACGCGTTTGGGTAATCACACAGCTATAATGTAATTAGAGGTTCTTATAAGATCTTCATGACAGTGCGTCTCCATTTTACGGGGTAATATATTTAGAAACTGTTTGTTTTAACTATTCCCATGAACAAAGCGACGGCTTTGCCTTTGTTTAGGTTGTGTTTTTTTTTCCCGAATTTTGTTTTCGACGTTGAAATTTAATTGCACATTTAAAGGTTACATCAACTGCGGCGACAGGCTGAATACACAAAATTTAAAGGGCAACTCCAGACGACAGGTTATCAGGGGAGCGCTCAGTCAGTCATTTAGAAGCTGGCAGAGGCTTTGGCCATATACGTCCATCCAATAGGTAAGATGAAGGTTTTGGCTGGAGTTTATAATCATTGATGAGGATTTGTAAGAAGCGGAATCTCCACTTTTAAGATATTCTCTTCCCAGCTTTCCAGAGGCTGAACAGAATAGCAGGGGAGAGAATGGAAGTTTAAAGCTTGGGTAAATGATTTCATTGTACGTTTTGTTAGATCGGCCGTTTGTCTAATTTCTATGGGTCCGGCACATGACTGCTGGTCCCTCGAGGGGTACAATCAGCTGGAGAGGCTTGAAAGACTGTTCTGATCACTATCGTTCGCCACTGCGATACGCGGCTCTGACAGTTTTAGCCTGCGCAGCTTTCCTATTCCCATCTCAGCTCTCTTACTGAATGCCTGGCTGAGCCAGACTTTCGTGTTTATGTGTGCTCCGGGCAACAGAAACACCAGAGGGCAGTGAGGTCCTGCTGGCATGTCTGCAAGTCTACTAGCGCCTATGAGCACCTTGAAGTGACACTGAACTGAAGTTAAATCTTAAAAATACAAAAGTACCTTAACTATTAACAGAAATGTATCTTATTTGTGTATCACTTGGCTGTAGATTGTCAAATCCTCTCTGAATTGGTGCTGACACTGTCCTTCCTTCCAGAGGGGGGCTACTTTTGTTCCCCATGGTCCCTGTTGTAAAGTATTCACCACTCCCGGCTCAAGCTCACTCCCGGGATAGACTACAATCTCAATACAAATTAGTAAACTGAACATGAGATTGTAGTCCATCACAGGAGCGAGCTTTGAGCAGTGACTACTTTACAACACGCACAAGGATTGTCCCCTCTCCCCAGTCTGCCAATAATCTTGGTTGTAGACCATAGTGACCCCTCTTTTAGTACTCATTGAGATTTCATTACTTGGGCACGGTTTGCTTTCACAGCCTGTCCTTCGATATGGGAGTACACGGCCGTACGCCGCCCTACGCTCACCCCAAGTGCAGGTCTATACGGGTGCGGGTGTCCTGGCTTGGACGCAGACAGGATCCATTCTGTCAGCGTAGGACTATGGACAACCGCACATGCAGAGCGGGTGAGCGTAGGGTGGCGTACGGCCGCGTACTCCCATAGAGAAGCACAGACTGCTGCATACTAATCACACGCAGCACCTGTCCTTCCCGGGAGCTGCCCTATACTGCCATGCACGCAGCACCGAGATGTACATGCCGGCCTTTTCTGAGGCCTTAAGTCAGCGGTTCTCAACCTGTGGGTTGGGACCCCTTTGGGGGTCGAATGACAATTTGCCAGGGGTCGCCGGGAGTCTCCGCAAACACTTTCTCACGGAAAGGTTTAATCTGCTCGATCGAGCAGTGTAAACCTTTCGCTGCGATCGTTTTTTTCATTTCTGACATCTGAGCCCCGGCCGCCGTAAGTCAGAAAAAAAAAATAAATCAGCATTGGAATGCATAGCTACATTCCTATTGGCTATTTCACTTTGCAATAGCAAACTAGCTATTGCACCCGCCCACTGCTGCTGTCAATCAGCAGAGGGGGACCTGCAGTTCTCCATCAGGTCCCCATCTAGTGATTATCATCATTATTATTAATAATAAAAGTTGACACCCTCGGCTTGTGTTATAAGGTTTGCCATTTTAGCTGTTACAACAGTGGTTCTCAACCTGTGGGTCGCTGTGTGATTTCTGCTGTGCTAGGTGAGAGTCCTCCTCAGCCCTCTCCTAGCGCAGCAGTGTCAGTTCTCCCGCCACGCTGCCAGATGTCGCTGCAGCAGCCGCGTCAACCCTAAATTTTACCGTTGGGGGTCACCACAACTTGGCAAATGTTACCAAGGGGTCCCGGCCCTAGAAAGGTTGAGAACCACTGCCTTAAGTGAACTTTACCGAACTCCAAGGGAACCATGCCCCAGACCACCTCTTCCAAGTGGTCCTGGGCAGGGTACACCCGGGCCAAGTTTGGATTGCTCACACTACACAAACGTTCTGGACTAAGGGGGTGAAGCAGACCTGGGCATGGAAAAAAAAACGCACACTGCCTGGATACAGCTACAGTTAAGCCTTGTTTACATGGGCTGCAGTCTCCACTGCCTTCTGAAAAGTGATCTGCATTGGATCGCTTCTCAGAGGGTGGTGGAGCAGCAGCTGCCTGGCATTATGGAGGTTTTTCTGCTGCCTCCTGAATGCAAGGTTGTATTTTTTTAATCTCAATGGGGGTTTCCTATAGATATACTGCGTTTCCAATGAATGCAATTGTTGCATTTAATACGCTGCATTGCCTGTGACAGGTGACAAGCTGTATGTCACCTGCAACACAAAGTATTGCAGCCGCATATACAGCACTACTCAGGTGCAGTGTTACCATTGCAGTGGGTAGCTGGAGGCTGAAATCTCACATCAACTGCACGGTTTTGTCACCTGTGTGAACAAGGCCTTAGAGGTCTAGTAATAAGAAGATGTAACTCTGCACGGTGGGTGCTTGTAATGACCATGAACGGCACCGTGAGATATGCTATAATTTTCAAGAGATGTCAACAGCTCACCATAATATCTTGTGCAATCCACAAAAGTCCATTTGTTGACAAATATTGCCATTCAAATGCAAGCGCTTTCTGGATCACGCAGGGTCTCCTTCATCAGGCTCAGAATGACGATTGCTGATTGCACAAGATATTATGGTGTGTTGGTGACATCTCTTGAAACTTATAGAGGTCTGGTAGAACCCCTGGCATTACCTGGTGCATTGAAGGAACCTATGTAGTGGAGGGAGAGTTTTTGTGCTGCCATGGGATGTCGGGAGGAGAGGACCAGAGCTCTGACCTAGAGTAGGCTATAGCAGGTGATTGGACCACAGCAGAATCTTTGTAAAATTAGAAAGCATGGACACCCAGTGTGTGGCGTGAATTGCTGCTCATGGTTGGCAGTGTTGCCCGGTCCTGCAAAAAAATCAAACCTATAAGATATGTTACCAGTTTTTGTTGGTTCCATCCTCTGAGACTGTAGAGCAGGTGCACCGTTTGCACTGTCAATAGTGCCATCCCTGAACCCTCTGTAATCATTTCATACACTGGAATAATTTCTATTTAGACTCCATCAATGATTGTCGTAATCAAGGCACAAGCGTACATTAAAAAGACGGAAGAGAACGGACACGTCCAAGATTGGACAGATGGAGAGGTGTAATTGTGTAAAAACATTTTCTCTGGCACATGAAACGCTGCTGATGATGACAGTTGGATGTCATATCGCTGGGAATATGCTAATATGCAGCACTAATTCTTATTTTCCTGTAATTATTGCTTAGGTGAAATTTACAACTCGCCCGAAACACAACGTTTTGATAAATGAGTCAAAATATTGTGCTTTGAAATGGTGATGAGGGTGCTGTGCCATTGGCTGAGTTTCCGGGAACGTTCGCAATAAATTGTCAGATTTGTTTGAGTTCAGCCTTCTGATTCCTCTGCGATTCCACCGTCATTGGGGGAAAAAGACTCGGTCTAGTCATAGGACTCTCTTCCTCTCTTTCAGAACCAGTTGTACATGCACCTGACTAACTACTCCGTTAACAAACACAATGAGAACTTCGAGCGGGACGAGACGGAGGACCGAGGTAGCAAGCGCTCCATCCGGTGGTTTACGGAATTCCTACGTGCCAATGACCATGATGTGGCCAAATTCTGGAACGACATTTCTGTAAGTAGTATTTTCATAAATGGTCAGCCGGATCTCCAGTTTGAAAGAGAGAAAACTCCATACGGATCAGTCGGATCTCTAAGTTTTCAGTGGGGGGCAGGGAAGGGTGAGGGCGAGCGGCATTCATGGCACAAAAGTGATGTGATTTACCTCTCTTTACCATCTGTCTTTAGGAATTAGTGGTGAAGACTCTAATAGTAGCGGATCCTCATGTGCTCCATGCCTACCGCATGTGTCGTCCTGGCCAACAACCCGGCAGCAACAGCATCTGCTTTGAAGTTTTGGGCTTTGACATTATTTTGGACAGGAAGCTGAAGCCCTGGCTACTAGAGGTATGATCCACTACGTTTGTTTTCCATACAGGGAATCCGGTGCTGTCAAGTAACCCAAAGGCTTCGCTCACCTTAACTTTCCTGCTAACTCTACCACAACCTTCAACATAACCATAACCTTTACGGTCCATGCAGTGATGTAATGTTTGTGTATGCATGTGATCTTATTGGCCACTGGCTTGTACTGCTGTATTTAGGGGAATGAAACATGCATGTACCTAGGTAGATACCATCCAACTTGTAATGATGAATTATTCGGATGACACCAAGAGATCTGCCATTGTCATTCTGGTGATCGGAGCTTTGGCTGGATGAAAGGTTTTTGTTAGTACATGAGCATTACAATGACTTTGATTTTTCCCTACTGAGGTCCACATTCATTGTTTAAATTTAATTCATTTAAATAAGAAAAGAGATAACATTTCAGCCTTTCCCTATCTGTTTTACTGCTCACAACAGTTGAAAATATAATTGATTTATCCTCATCAACTGTTAGAAAACCAACAAACATTTCAAAAATGATCACAAATATAACCTCATATGGCCACCTTAATCGTATCTAAACCCAGAACCAATAATGAAATATATTGCATCTTACCAATCCTTATATGTGGAAACTGCATTCGTGTTTATTTTTAGTTTTTTTTTTCCACTCTATATTTACTTGGTGATCCGGCCAGGAACACACTTCCTGTCTTCTGATGGCTTCCAGTGATACAAACAGTAACTTCACACGCGGCAAGAGATCCGGTCTATATATGTCCCCTTAATAGAACTTCATGACCCCTAAGTGTACCTCACCGGCTGCCCGTGATTCCTGAGGAGTATAGCGTGCTGTTCTCCGACGCGATCCCTCCATCTATTTTTGTTCGTGGCAGTTTACCTTCGATAGAATCAACCTCCTATATGATTTCGTTGCAGTTGCTTCATGTCATCTAGTTTTCGTTGCTTTGATTATACATGTGGCGAGAGCATACATGAATACAGTTCTCCCGGAGATCTGCCTTCTTTCCCCTGAAGAAGCCCCTTTTTGGGGGCGAAACATGTAGGGACCTATAGGAGCGTTTACATCATCTGAAAATAAGTTACCGCATATCTCGTAACCGCACGGTATTGTCACCTAACGGTGAACCTGCATATTCAATATGTATTTTTATTAATGATATATATTTTTATTGATGACATGATTTTGTACTTTATTTTTTGGTTCTAAACTATGTATACAACAATTTAGTGAATAAATGTTTTTCTAAGACTTTTATATACGAGGTCTGGACTGGTTTCTAAAAAGCCCCCTTTTTTCTCCCCACTGGGTCCTTGCACAGCCCACTGCGGAAACAATCTGTTCCTTTGTATCCACTCTATGGAGAAGCATCAGAGTCACCTTTAGACAGCAGCAGCATCACCCTGTGTGGAGGGTAGTGTTAGATGCACTCACAGATTTAGATGAACTTCAGTAGAAAATTAAATCCGAATTCCAGCCAACTTATTAGGCAGTTACATAATTGGCTAGTGAAATCCCTATCATAGCCCTCTCCACTTCTGCAAGTGTCTAATTACTGTCTGTGCTGGCACAGCTCCTCCTCCCCTCTGTTAGCTGCAGGAGTCACCTCTGGCATGTTTCACAATAAAAAGTGTAGACTGTAGAGTCTTAAAGGAGAACTATGAGGTGAGTGATTTTCACTCATCCTAATAGTTAGAGCCGACCTGTGACAATGAAACTGTCACAGGTCAGCTCTTTTGATAGGTAAGTGAGCGAACACATACCGTCGCTCGTTCACTTCTCGATCATCTCCCTGCAGAGGGCGCTGAGTGGAGGAATGGACCAGGAAGGGGGCGGGCACAGCTGGCTCTGCCTCTTGATAGGCAAAGCTCGCTGTCACTCAGCCAGCTGGGTGTATCTCGACAGTATTGTCGGGATCCGTCCTGGCTGCAAGCTCTCAGTATATAGCGGGCAATAGCTCACTATATACTGAGCTTTGGGTCACGGGAGGTGGTTAGTATATGTCCTCCCCTGTCCCTTAAGAGAACTATGGGATAAAAAGGTTACCCCATAGTTCACTTTTAAAGCTGGCCATACACTAGTAGATTTTCATACGAACCGTCATATGAAAAACCTGGTCAGAACATTGGATAATGGCATCAGAGACTTGACGAATGTCATTTGAAATTTTGTTTGGTTTAACATTCGATTTTGGAATAAATGGAGTTTCCTGAATGAAAACTGCATTCATTCACTGTTAGAGTATTATTCATTCTTCTAGAAAAAATTTCCAGCCTGCTCCTTTGATTTTCTTGGGTCATTACAATCGAAATTGACCATCGATTTAAGTAAACAAATGTTCCGAAAACTATTTTTTTGGAACAAAATCCTACTGGTGACCAGCTTTACAAACATATTCTATACACTGAGTAAAGACATTTCTATACACTGATTACAGATATTTGTGTCCATACACCTCTGAATGAATTGGGTCTCCTACATCAAACGCGCTTCCATGTCAGAAGTGACCCCTGATACTATTTAATAAATAGGGACAGTTGCTACAGCCTGGAGTGGTGTGTTTCATTTCCTGTTTTATTAGATAGCCTAGAGCAGTGGTAGGCAACCCTGGCAACCCAGATGTGGCGAAACTACAAATGTCATCATGCCTTTGCTTCTAGGAGTAATGCCTGTGGCTGGCAGAGTCTTGCAATGCCTCATGGGAATTGTAGTCCCAAAACAGCTGGAATACTGAGGTTGCCTACCTCTGGTCTAGAGTTAGGGGCCACACTTTGTAAAGAGTCCATAACTTTACATAGATTTACAAATGTATTAGGTTTAATGCATGTTGTTGAAGAGTTTAGACTTCCCTTATGAGCCAGCTGGTAATTGTGTTGAGTTCTGTAGTATTCGGTGTGCTCTTCTTTTTCTTTTTGCTAGATATAAATTTATTTGACTGGTTGCCATTTTTACCTTGCTTTGGTGTTTCATGTAAGCTTAGCATACTTAATATTACAGGGGACTCATGAGCTTGGTGCATCTGCAATGGTGAGCTTGCGGCACCATTAGCTCCCATGACGCGTACGAGGATACTATAACTAGCAATAATGGTTACACATGTCTACGTGTACTAACCTTTGGTCTTACAGGAAATGGCAGTATGCGGAGAGTATACTTCAATGTGGAATAATGACCATCCATTTGAGTGATTTTGTCCCTTTAACGCATTAATGGAAAGACTTAACGGCCTGGATTCCTGTAGGAAGACTATGGGGAGAACATTACATTCTTGGATCCCTTCCTCCCCTTGTTAGCTGCCAGTTTTACCAGTCTAATACTGTAATCATTTGCGAATTTAAATGCCATAATTAGAGGCAGCACATGCTGGGTACATTTGTATCAGCTTCTATGAGTACTTTTAATTATGCATGTTGACATAATGATTAAAAATAGATTTTCGCTCAGGCGGCATTGTTTGGTTTTACAGTTAAATCTGTTACCCGTGTCTGTGTTGTACGAGCTTGCTTTGTGATGTTAATTAAAGCCTAAGAAAGGGACAGAAATTGGGTTATTGAATGGCACTTGTGAGTCGGCTTCATTAACAGACACACATCTCATTACAGAATGATGCCAAGCAGGGGTGGATGTTACCTATGGGAAGCCTGTGCTCACGGCTCCGAACCTGCACTTGTTTTTGCTGACGGTTGGCTTTTAGGCAGGTGGACGCAATGGCTGAGACACCTAGGGGGTGAACTGAATCAGAGAAAGGAGCTGGTTTGAGGTTGGATCCTCTGTCTCCATGAATTGCCATAAGACTTCCTGGTGTAATTCACCCTTTCAGTGTGGCTGTATGCAGAGCTTGATTGTTATAAAGACTGATAATAAGAATGTTAATTAAGAATGGTAAAAAAGCAATGAAATTTGATGGTGTCTAACTGGCAGCACACCTGTAATCCAATGTTAACATCTCTGGAACTAGTCCCAACCTATATATACTTACCTGAGCTCCCTAGCAGCCACATAGCCAGCTGGAATAGCCAACCCTTCAGGATATGTGGGAACATGTGACCTGTTCCCCTGTGACAGTGTCCTGGCTTAGCAGCCAATCATTAAGTCCAGGGCCCAAGCCCTCCAGAAAAGTAGCTACAGCGGCACCTCAAGGTAACAACATGACAGTGCTTTCAGTGCAAAACAATGTGGTCACCCAGCTAAAGCAAGTTTAAAATCAGCAGAAATCTTGGAAGCGTTTTATGTTGGACAAAGTCGCTTGACTGGGGGAGGAACATCACCGTTCTCCTGGGGTGTGACGTCACTCAGCCAATCTCAGCGTCGGCTACAGAGGAACAAGGAGCTGCAAGGGAGTGCAGGAAAGGAAGGCATTGTCAGGATCGGACCCTGCTCCGTAGCCCAAGAACATGGCAGGGACGGCCCCGTCAACAGCGTCCTGTTGCCGGGCGACGGGCGGGCGTTCCTCCGCGCTCCACTCCTCCTTCTGCCGAACAGCTGAGTCGGCGTGATGACGCGGCGAGCCCGGCCCAGCGGCGTCCCGTTGCTAGGAGACGCTCGGGTCGGGTCTCGTCTCCGGCTCCGCCCCCCAATCACCTGCTCTGCCTATTTAAACCGTAGGCTTTCACTTGCTCGACGTTCTAGCAAAGTAGTACGTCGAGCAAGCTACTTAGGACCCTAAACTGTACCGCTCTCTGGGTATCCTGCTAACCCCTCTTGGACCTCCACATCTACCCCTTGGATTCTGGCAGCCTGGATACAGCCTCCCATCCTGTGAATGGACTTCCCACCTAACAGCAAGTAGCCATTACCACATGCTGTAATCAATTGCCGAGTTGTATGCACCTACTGACATCAAGGTTAGGGGTAGTGAATCCAACTAAACTCTCTTATCTAAAACTGCCTTACCCTCTTCTCTGGACTGTCTTAAATACTATATGCAATAGAGTTACTGTCTCTTTGACCTCCCTAGTGAAGTAAACTTGGGGAGAGAACTACAATTCCCAACAGGCCCCAATGCTGTAGAATTGAGGGTTGTGGGAATTCACCTCTATCATTTAATTCCTCCTGCAATCAGAATGGTATATGATGTGTAAGGGGTTCCGACTTCACTCACTACACTAAAGTGTGACAGTGAACCCTTCAACTGAACCATTTACGCTTACCTCCGCAGTTGTGATCCTATACCTCCCGCAGAGTTTGCACGGATCATTACAGGCATATGGGCATGGATAAGAGGAAATTGTCCAACAGAACACACTTTTATCACTTGCTGACCCTGCCATGAGTTCTGCTGATTTTAAACTTGCTTTAGCTGGGTGACAAATTGTTCTGCAGTCAGGGCCGGATTTGCTTTCCCTGCCGCCCCAAGGCCAGGTTCCGCAATGCGCCCCCTCCTCGCCAACCAGCCCCCCCCAATCAACGGAGAATGGAACCGGATGGCAGGGGAGGCAGGGTTAGTTCTAATTTTTTTTCTGTATTTTTTCTTACTTTTTTATCACTTTTTTAATTTTCTTTATTTTTTACATTTTTAGCTTGTTTTATTTATTTTTTAAATAATTTTTTATTCCACATCGCCGCAATCACTTGTAAACGAACGGCCGGATTCCCCACTTACCGCCCGGCGCCCAGAACTACATGTTCCGGGCATCGGGGGACTCCACGGCGCTGCCGCCCCTCTGCAACGTGCCGCCCCGAGGCCGGGCCTCGGTGGCCTTGTGGGGAATCAGGGCCTGTCTGCAGTGAATGCACTGTAGTGTTGTTACCTTGAGGTCCCGCTGTAGCTACCCTTTTGGTGCCAGTGCCTTCAACCTTCACTCTGTTGAAGAGCTATGACCGCGGCTGGAATCCAACACTTCCAGGTATGGTGGTCTCTCCCACTGTCTGCTACGTCTCTTTTCTGTCCTGAATGCATCTAGCACACCTTGGATTTTATTTTCAATGTATAATTTGTATGAAGCTCAAGGTACTAAACCATAATGATCACTTTTCATATCAAGAGTTTTATTTTCACTAGTATGAGCCAATAAAAGCTGAAAGTAATAGTGACATGGCTGAAAATAAAGATTATTTAGCAAATAGCTCTATAGATTAGAGAATGTAGCCTTTGGTTGCATGTTTCACTAGTGCACTGCTCTTGATTTTCAATGTAATGTTCAAGTGGGAATGTATAGTTGTAAAAGAATACAGTTTAAACTTTGTAAAAACCTTTTGTTAGCAGAGCTCATTGATGTCTAGATTCCTAGGCCAACTTTTGCAGCAGCAGTATGTGCTGGCTAGCTTAATAAATCTGTGACTAGTTTGCATGCCGAAATACATTTTAGGACATATGAGCCTCTTATTTGGTACAATGTTAAAAGAAAAACAATTGTTTGCACTTACAGTTGCACTAAATTAAAAATATGGCACTGCAGTTGAACACAGCTGTCTTAAAGTGGCAGCATTCATCTCCAAGCTGTAGGCTTTGATTTTTGTAAGGGGAGCCTCCATCCTGCATGTGATCACTATCTCAGAGCTGGCATAGTGACCACATGATTGGAAACCACACTGATTGGTTTCTGATGGTCATTGAGTCAGTGAAAGCCAGGATTGAGAGTCAGGAGCAGGACAATGTTTCGGTCACTGGCTCTCAAAGGGTGCCCAAATGATGAGGCATCATGCTGAGGAACAATAATGGAACAGATTGCTGGCAAAAAGGGGTTAATTAGGTAAATATGAACTATTGCATATGCATATTCTATATTTATATGTAGCAAGCAAGTGAAGCTTTAGGCTCCTTTTTACGTTTTTTTTTTCCCCACATCTTTTCTTACCTCTTGTTTGAAAAAAATACTTTTTTAATTGATCTCAGTAGCTCAAGTTGACATTTACATATCCATAAAATAGAGTCAGAGCAGTGACTGAACCCTCTTCCTCTCCTTTCCTTTGCTCCGTCCTAGGTTTCTTTTAAAGACAGACTACATGAAAGTAGAAAACCACTGCTGTGCGTTCTCTTTATATAGTGCTCTGGGAATCCTTTGTCATGAATTACATTTTTTTAATTGTAATACAAAAATTGTAAATTGTATATTTTAAATAGTAATAAAAAAAAGATCTATAACATCAGCTCAAAAACGTTTAACATTAAGATTAAGAAAAAAAAATTGACCCAAAACCTCCACCGTATCTCTTTCTAAGGAGCCCTAGGTTCGAGCCACGACCTTTTTTGTTTCCTTTGTACAATTGTCTTCCCCTTTTTTTTTTAATTGACTCTTTTTATGTCTATTTTCATCTCCCCAGATCAACCGTGCTCCCAGCTTCGGAACAGATCAGAAGATTGACTATGATGTGAAGAAAGGAGTTTTGCTAAATGCGTTAAAACTTTTGAACATAAGGTAACTGGTTTCATCGCTCAGTTTCTGTAATAAGCGTGTCTGGAGAGGGGGCTGCAGGAGATGGCAGTACACAGGGAACCAGTTATTTCCTTTCTTGTTACCTTCGGAGGCTGATTGGACATTAGCAGTTCTAGATGTGCAGAAAACTGGTTTCTGGACCATGAAGAGGCATCTGATTTTAAAGCAAGTCTACAGTCTATTAGTGTTCATTATATACAATGTGTAAATATGATCTCTATATATCTAAGCTCTCACAGGCAGGGCCCTCCTTGCCATCTTGTCTTGATATGTATTGTAACGGTAATGTCTTCCTTACATTGTAAAGCGCTGCGCTATCTGTTGGCGCTATATATATCCTGTATAGTAATAATTATTAGGGATGCACCGATACTTGTACTTCGGTATCGAGTACGAGTACCAATATTAATTTTTTTTGGTACTCACCGATACCGAATACTGATACCAGAAGTCCCATTCAGGAAGCCAGGCGGCGTGTAATGACTCGCCACCTGGCTTCCTGATTAGCAGGAAAGCCATCCCCATGATTCTCGTCACTAGGTGACGAGGTGCCCGGCTTCCTGATTGGCCGGGAAGCCGGCTCCATGCTCCCTCGTCATGAGGTGACGGGGGAGCATGAAGAAGGCTTCCAGGCCAATCAGAACGCCCGGCGCCGCGTCATTACACAGTGCACGGCTTCCTGATTGGCCGGGAAGCCGGCTCCATGCTCCCTCGCCACAGTGATTCGCTGCTCAGTTTCCTGATACCGGAAGTATCGTGCTAGGCATCGGAGCATTTGGGCAAGTACGAGTACTCGTCGATACTGTATCTAATATCTGTATCGGTGCATCCCTAATAATAATAATAATAATATATGACATTAGGTTTGCTAATGGAGGGGGATTTAACAAAACAAAATCTGGAGCAGTTGACTATGGCTACCAATCAGCTTCTCTTTCCAGTTTGTTCAGTTAAGATTTGAAAAAGAAAGAGAGAAGCTGATTGGTTGCCATGCACAGCTCCTCCAGATTTTGTCTGCTTCAGTTTTGATAAATTCCCCTTTATGTATCATAAACATTTGCCAAACTGTCTTTCTCTAAGTACGTGTTTTTTTCAAGCTAAATCTAAAATTGGTGCATACCCTAACTGGATGACAATGAAAGATACACCAATTTTAGTGCATACTATGCTCAAAACTAAAAATAAACATGTATTGAAGTACTATAAGTTCTGTCCCACTCCTAATTACCATATCCATCTAGAAGTTTGTAAACTTACACAAGGGACAGAGACGTCTCCAACATCTGTCCATCTACCACAATGGAGGAGAAGGGATCACAGAGCAGAGGAATGGCTTTTCTTGCTTGTGGCTGTGTGTTTGTGGAGACACACACAGCTTATAAGCACACACAAGGGTGGCTCCATAAGGACTCTGCAAGGCCAATGAGCCACCTTAAAACAGGATATCAGGGCCAGTGCTCAGGGGACAAGCTGATTCTGCAGGAAGATAAACCTTTTAAACATCAAGGAGCAGCATCCATTGTAAGTGATTTCATCAGCATTTGAAATAGCTTAAAAACCTTTTTAATTTAATTTTACTCTTAAGTGTTGTCACCCTAGGAAAGGAAAAATTTTACTGGCAGGATCACCAGGTATTGCCAAGTATCTGTACTGGTACTCAAAAAGTATCTGTGCATCCCTAAATATTTTACATTGTTGCTCCTGTGTTTAGATATACTTTCAAGCATACATCTAATAATCTGTATCAGCCTCCCATGTGATGCATCCTCCTTCTTCTTTTTATTTTGAGGCACAGGGGCTGATCGCAATCGGCGTGTTTATGCATGGCGTGTTTGTGAGGTTAGTAAATCAAACCCCACAGAGTTAAGTTTACACTCTAACTATAGAACAGATACAGAAATAAAGGACTACATTAATACACAAAGAAAGACATTTGAAACAACGTTTTTCGGCATTTGTATCAACAGCCATTTTCCCCCGCAGCCATCCTTTCATGAAATCCATCTAGATAATTGGCACATGGGGTAGTAATGGTTCATTAGCCTTTTGTTGTATTGTATTATTTAGTATTCCGATTTGCTTGTTGCACAAAGAGAAGCATCATCTGTTGGTTGTTCTGCAGGTAATTTGTAAACCTGTTACAGAAACATGCTAATTGTTTTATCCTTGAAAGTAAACACACATGGGACTTTTTCTCAGCAGGCACTTTTTGGTAATAAAGTTAGATGAGCAAGCGTTTTAATATTTCATTACCGAGCTTCAATTTGTCCTTTTTTTTGTTTTTACTGTAGAGCGAGTGATAAAAAGAAAAATTTGGCCAAACAAAAGGCAGAGGCTCAGAAGAGACTCTATGGTCAGGGATCCATGAAGAGGCTGTCGCCGGGGTCCTCTGACTGGCAGAAACAGCGACACACCTTGGAGAGGAGAAAGGAAGAACTGGTAAAAATTGCCAATATGAGATTAATAGCACTTTTGTATTAACACTGAGCTCCAGACAGACAGCTAAATACGCCAGAGAAATATGTAGCAGGAGCTGCCAAAAGATTCGTATTGTCCAGCCAGATTTATACACTCTGCACGGGCAACAGAGCCAGGTTGATGACCTGATTTTTCTCTACTGCAATTGGACAATATGGGCAGCGCAGTAGTTTAGTGGTTAGCCTTTCTGCCGTGCAGCACTGGAGTCCCTGGTTTGAATACTGGCCAGGACATAATCTGTATGAAGTTTGAATGTTCTCTCTGTGATGCGGGTTTCCTCTGGGTAAGGTAATTGCCTCCTATCTAAATTGGCTCATGTGTGTGCATGTGAGATAGGGACCTTAGATCATACGCTCCTTGTAGGCAGGGACTGGTGTGAATGTACGGTTTGTAAAGTGCTGTGTAAATTGTTGCTAAATAGATACCTGTGATAAAGAAATACTAAATAAAGCTTGGTCACTTCTCTGTCTCTGACTTGTGATTGGACACTGAATGAGCAACAGAACAATAAGGAGTCATCTCTCTGCTCCTGTCAACATGGGACTTATAGTGATAGAGAATGTTAGTGCAGGGGTTACAGGAAGGCTAAGGGGGGAATTTATCTACACTGGAGCAGACAAAACCTGAAGCAGCTTTGCATGGCAACCAATCAGCTTCTCTGTTCAGTTTGTTCAGTTAAAATTTGAAAATGAGAGAGAGGCGCTGATTGGTTGCCATTCACAGCTGCTCCAGTTTTGATACATTCCCTTGTAAGTGTTACAGTTATAGAGAGAGGTAGTGTAAGGGTTACAGGGCGGGTTAGTGTTAGTGGTATATGGAGGGCTAGTGTGAGAGTTAGTGTTAGAATTACAAGGAGGGAAAGTGCAAGGTTAAGGGTTACAGGGAAGGCTGGTGTCAGGGTTACATGGAAGGTTTGTGTTAGGGTTATATAGATCAATAGTGTAAGGGTTACAGGAAGGCTAAGTGCTAGAGGTTTAGAGAAGTTTAGCATAAGGGGTTACAGGGAGGGTTAGTGTTAGTGTCATATGGAAGGCCAGTGTGAGGGTTAGTGTTAGGATTACAAGAAGAGTTAGTGTGATGCTTAATATTAGGGTTATAGGAAGATTAAGTGTTAGCGTTATAGGGAAGGCCAGTGTGAGGGTTAGTGTTAGGATCACAGGAAGAGTTAGTGTGATGCTTACTATTAAGCCCCGTTCACATTGAGCGATTTATCGCGCGGTAATTCCCGCGATATCGTGGCAAAAGGGTCCTGCTGTCGCGGGTCATGTGTCGCTACAGCAGGACCCTTTTTGGAGCGGATTTAGCCGCGATTCAAGCTTGCTCAATGCAAGCTTGAACGCGATATCGTGCAGTATGCAAATCGCGCGACAAACGCACGATTTGCATATCGCGCAGTGGGAACGGGGCCTCAGGGTTATAGGAAGATGACGTTTTAGAGTTATATGGAAGGTTAGTGTGAGGGTTAGTGTTAGGATCACAGGAAGAGTCTCTGTCGGGCTCCATAGAAAAAAAGCAAAATCGCGCAAAATCCGCCGGAAAAAGGGTCCGTAGAAGCGACTTGCGACCGCGACGAGCGACGCGCGACATGGAGTTAAGACAGCTCCATTGAATAGCATTGGCCGGCGACTTCTCGCGATATCGCGTGGCAAAAATGCGCGGTATCGCGGCGGAAATCGCGCGACAAGCCGCTATATGTGAACGGGGCCTTAGTGTGATGCTTACTATTAGGGTTATAGGAAGATTAAGTGTTAGAGTTATATGGAAGGTTAGTGTGAGGGTTAGTGTTAGGATCACAGGAAGAGTTAATATGATGCTTACTATTAGGGTTATAGGAAGATTAAGTGTTAGCGTTATATGGAAGGCCAGTGTGAGGGTTAGTGTTAGGATCACAGGAAGAGTTAGTGTGATGCTTACTATTAGGGTTATAGGAAGATTAAGTGTTAGAGTTATATGGAAGGTTAGTGTGAGGGTTAGTGTTAGGATCACAGGAAGAGTTAGTGTGATGCTTACTATTAGGGTTATAGGAAGATTAAGTGTTAGAGTTATATGGAAGGTTAGTGTTAGGGAATGTTGGTGTAAGGGTTACCGGAAGGCTAAGTGTTAGAGTTATTGAGAAGGTTAGTATTAGGGTTTGGTGTTGGCGTTAGGGTTATTAAGAGTAGAGTCTTAGGGCAGGACATCACTCTCTTGCACTGAAAACTAAAAGTGCTGATCTCTTAGATAAAAGTTAATATATTATATGCAGTATATTATTATTTTCTTTCTATTATACATAAATGTATCCATCAATATGAAAACTATAGGAATCTGCTCTTTTCCTGTTTTCTAGAAAGAACGACTCGCTCAGGTCCGCAAACAGATATCCAAGGAAGAGTATGAAAACAGGCACATGGGGAACTACAGGTATCAGCACTGCTTTATAAGACACTCTTTTTACCTATTTACACCTCTCAGTTCTATCTTAGTTTATTCTGTGTTGTACCTGTCATGTGAAATACTTTTCTTATTCCATCTGGACTGTTCAGCTTCACTTAAGCTGCCCCTGAAAATCCATCTGTTCAGGAGAGCTTATCGCTTTCTCTAATCCCCCCCTATCGTCCAAAGCACTCCGTGTGTGGTCAGAAAGCAGCTGCTCCAAAATCACAAAACCTTAAGCCACCTATGCGATGCCTGATATGTGTGATAACAGAACCAATCTGAGTATCTGAGTATCGCTTCCCATCGTAAGCCAGTGTCCAGGTGAATGAGGCATCTATCACAGATATGAGTTTGTATTGGAAGGGCTTCTTATTACTTGTAGAGATTTTTAGCATCTCTGTGACCAATACATAAGCTTTCCATTGCCTCTTGAAATGACTTCCTCCATTCATGTGTCATGGTCAGACTTGGGTAAACTGGACACTTGGAGAACCGTCACTCCTGCTAAACCATTTGTCTGTCTTTGGATAACTTTAATTGGGTTTGTGATATGTTTGATGAAGTATCAGAAAATGAATACTGTCCATGTTTCTTTGTGTCATGTCTTTGGGCTCTTGTGCACTCAGATTGGAATACTACCAAGTATTACATCAACTTTGACCTAGCCAACACAGACAGTGAAAGGCCCTTTCCCTTTTCTGTGTATCAAAGGGATCAGTTGCACATATTTCTAGCAAGATAGAAGATCCCAGCCAATCAGAAGAGCTTCCGATGTTCCAAAGAGTTTGAACAAACCTAAGCGAAATAAAGCTGAACATACACTGTTAGAATTTCATGCAGATGTTCATTCGAAATCGTTCATCAGAACATTTGATGATTCCGTCATTCCGTCAACTACTTTTTCTCAATAGCCCTTAAAAATTTTCTCCAGACCTGCTGTCTAAATGGAATCCAAGACCTTTTAATCAGGATTCTTTTGTACCTAGGGCATGCACATTACAGTATGTACAATTTTTTCCTATTTACAGTTAGAATTTAATTTGTTCAGATCAGGGACGTGCGGTCAGGGGAGTCAGGTGAGGCGGAGCCTCACCTAGTATTATGGAGGAAAAAGCTGTCAGCTTCAAGTCTGAAGCTGACAGCTTTTTCTCCATTTAGAGCGGCTTTTAACAGGTTACACAGCAGGGAAAGCCTCCCCACCGTGTAACCTGTCATGGACGGAGCGCTGCTTGTTAATTACAGGCGACACTGCATCCGGCTTTTAACAGCTAAGTTAGGTTACACAGCAGTTAGCTAAGGCTTCCCCACTGCTTGTGTAACCTAACGTGGTGAGGCCAGAGCTGCAACAGCCTCTACTCTGTGTTAGAGGCGCAAGCTGTGTGGATGGTTTGGACCAATGGCAAAGCACCTTTGGTCCAAGCTGTCCAATCAAAAAAAATCAAAAGACAATCACTGAGGACATCGATCTTGATGCTTCACCAGTGACGAGCAAGTGAGGGACAAGGACTCCGTCCCTCCTCCACACATAGCTTGGGGGGCGGGGCTTTGGCGGCACTTTGGTGTGCTGGGGGTGGGGCGTGCTGTGGTGGGGCTGGGGAATGCCTCACCCAGCATGGAAGGTACTGCATGTCATTGGTTCAGATAAGAAATAAGAAAGATTTTCCATCATGCTACTTTGATTTTCAACCATCAATTGGACTGCAGTAACCATTAGGAAATTGAATGAACGTCCCTGATAAACCCTGAAATATTAAACTAGATTGTGTACCAGCCAAAGGATCAGCTTTCCCGATCTTTGGGGTCTTGCCGAGGTGGGATCTGCATGAGGCAAATGGATTGATTGGCTGCCTCTGCTTGATCAGTGAATCAGTGCATCTCCCTGGCAGAGGTGCCATCGCTGGATCCTAACTGGAAGAAATAGTGAAGCAGCTAGTGGCTAGTTCACGGAAGAAACTCTGTCCTGCTGGCAAACATTGGAAAGGTCTTGCTGAGTTTTGGGCACAGGGCAACAAGCAGGGGTGAAGAAGGTGTCACAACTAAATGGGTTTAAATTCACTTTAACCTTTCTGCAGCCTGATTGTCATAAATAAGGCCTGAGGCTGTCCCATTAAGTGTTCTTATTAGACTTTTTTTTTTAAATATGAAGATTCAAAGAACACAAAGAAGCAGAAATGGGTCAATAATGACTGGTAATGACTGGAGATATCAGCGGAAATGATTTTCCAACTTATTGGAAACCATTCTGTGCGGATGTTCATTTTCATCCAATATATCGGTATACACAGTCGTTTCAGTACAATCCAATTACAGGCTAAATGGTATTTGCTACTCAAATAATGAGTGCTGACATTAAAACTGACTGAACTCCAGACAAACAGCTAAATACTCAGATAAAAGACAAATAAGGGAGATGTTTTACCTGCCAAAGGCTTTATACTTCAGTCCATACATCCCTGAGTTTTGCGCAGCTCTATCACACATCCAAGTGTATGACACCACTTACAGTTAAGGAATACCGTGGTGTTATTTTTCCACCCCCACCCTGCTGACTGTACAGTGCCTGATGAGGTCATCCCTATGCTCATTCTGCTCTCTTATTCTATGATCATGTTCTATGTTCATGTTCTCCTATTCTATGAGCATGTTCCTTGTCAATTCATTAGCATGCAGCAGACCCAAGTGCTTTCCAGTCTTGTTTTACCCTCTCCCTGTCTGGGTGCTGCTGCACAGGGACTTCAAGAGGCTTGTACCAAGGCAAATTCATGTACTTACACTGGTTGCTTTTAAAAATACATTAAAGCGGATCTCCAGGATTTTCAAATGTTAACCCTTGCAGTGAAGCTACCCTACTACAAGGATTAACTTCTCGTTTTGGTCTAGGGGCTGGAATAAAGAAGATTCACTCACCTGATCCTCAATCCTGTGGCGGTGACCGCTCACCTCTCTCCCCCTTCACTCTGGCTGTGGTATATCCCTTGGTGTCCTCACATTTAATGCAAGTAAATGGTTTTTCAGTATCGAGTACAAGTACCGATATTTTGCTTTTGGTACTCGGTATCGCTTCCACTGGCATGGAGCCCGCTTCACGAGCAATCAGGAAGCCGGGCAGCGGGTAATGACATGCTGCCCAGCTTTCTGATTGCCCAGGAAGCCGGCTCTATGTTTGGCCGGCTCGATTGTGATTAGCCAGTGAACCGGCTTCACAGCCAGTCAACACCAGGCCGGCTTCCCGGCCAATCAGGAAGCCAGGCCGCGAGTAATGACCCGCCTCCTGGCTTTCTGATTGGCTGGGAAGCCAGCTCCATGCTGATTGACTGGAAAGCCGGCTTCCCAGCCAATCAGCATCAAGCACGCTGTTCAGCCGGCTTCATGCCAATTGGCCGAAAAAACGGCTTCCCAGCCAATCAGCATGGAGGTGACTTCCCAAACAATCAGGAAGCTGGAAGGTGGGTCATTACTTGTCACCCGGCTTCCTAATTGCCCAGGAAGCCAGCTCCATGTTCCCCTACGGCACTTCCTCTGACCGGAAGTTCTGGTATCGAGGAAGGTATCAGAGCATTTGAACGAGTATGCACCCAGATACTCTGTATCGACACAGATACTAGTATTGGTATTGGTGCATCCCGAAGCAGGACTTAGACCGCTGTAGCCCAGGGGAGAAGAGGCTGCTGCCACCAACAGCCAGGCTGCTAGGCGCCTAGCAGCCAGACGGGATTGGGGATTAAGTAAGTGTATTATAATTTTTTAGACCCCTAGACTAAAACGAGCAGTTAACCCTTGCAGTGCAGGGGTAACCTCACTGCATGGGTTAACTTTTGAAAATCCTCTTTAATGACTTATTCATTAATAATGCCAAATTCAGCCACACAATTTGCTGTTAATGATCGCCTACTATAATTTACTAATTAATTTTACACTTATGATCATTCTCATAATACAAAGACATAGAATCTTAATCAAATCGTACCCAACCATTTTTGCCTGTATGGCCAGTGTTCCCCCATCTATGGCCACCATTACACACTACACCTAAAAGCTGTGAGCTCTTGTGAGCTTCCATATGTTTCAGGTTAAGAACTGTTTGTTGCCTTTTTACATACATCTGCGTGTTGTATATTTTAACGGCTACATGTTTACCCGCCTATTGCACAGCCCTGAAGAATATCTTGGCTCTCTAAAAATATAACAATAATAATAATGATTAAATAGCAACAGGCCGATCATATTTCTCTTGTGTACGGGGTAAATGTCCATTTTATGCTGGCTTAGCACTGCTGCATTGTTTAAATGAAATGTATGATGGTGTATACAGTTCTGACAGTGATGAACCAAGACAGCCAAGGGCACCCGGTGTAAAGCATATAAATAAGGCCCTTCTTCAAATTTATTATTAATCATTAGTTGACAAGTAGGTATTTGGTAAAAGGGCCTAATCTTCTTTCTAAGGCCCAGTCTAGTTGCTTTGCCAGAAATTCCAGCTTGATATAAAGAAATCTGATGTTTTTAAACTGGACGGTATTTTATAGCAACGAATGGAATGAATACCATTGGATTTACACATACCCAAGCAAGGTGTGATACAGAAGGCTAGAAGGGGGACTACACTGAGCCCACAAAAAAGGACACTTCTCTATGTCACCCTGCTAGGGTCATCAGTTGTAGACTTGTGTTGGTGTATCTCAGCCAAGAAACAACATGCACAAGAAAAGTACTTTTCTCTAGTCAGGGGTTGCTAAGATTTGGCCCTCTAGCTGTTGTGGAACTACAAGTCACCTAAGGCATTGCAAGACTCTGATATCCATGACTTCCAGAGGCAGAGACATGATTGGATTTGTAGTTTCACCTCTGCTCTAGGCCCACGTAGATAATATATAGTTGCACATTGAACAGAACTAGAGCTAGACGGCAGGAGTTAAACCCAAGATGGGAAAGTAAGCTTTAGAATCTGTTCTTAACGTCAAATAAATACCATGAAATAAATAGCA